GCCTCGAAGCCAGTCTAACTTTGACCCCACCCACCGTCACCAGCGGCGTCCGTGACCGTCTCCTGCCCGTGGGCGGAGATCGAGCCCTAACTGTTAAAAAAAAAAAAAAAAAAACTCCCAAATAAACAAGAAAGACCAGTTGCTTCAAAGAGACGAGGTTAAAGCGATGGGTGTTTATGAATGTGTGTGTGTTTGTGTAGGAGGCTGTGTGTAGTGTGTGTTCAGGTACTGTGCCTTTATGTAACCCCCTGTTTGCTCAGCCTTTGGTGTGGAATACCTCTATGTATTTACCATCGGTCCAGAATGACTGGGCAAACAAACAGCTCGCCTATTGATGAGCAGCAGTGTGGAATATGCCCGTTGTGTTCACGAGGGAGGAAAAAGGGGAAGGGGTAGAGGGAGAGACGGCAAAGTAAATCTGTCAAAGAGTCTATTATACGGTGTCCAAACAGAGAGCGCGCTCCACAATGGCCTTATTAATGGCACAATGTCAAGGAGCGGCAGGGCAATAATAGCAGATGATTTGGCTTTGTGGGGTTATCTCCAGAGATCTGGTATTGCAATACAGCAGATGATTCGGCCTGTGTGGGCGTATCAGTGTGGATCTGCAGCAGAAGCTGATTGGGGCGTCTGCATGTGTGAGTGTGTGTAAGTTGTGGTTTGTGGTGAGGCCAATGGCGTGCAGCCAGAGACAGGAGTGTGGCCACTACGTGTGTCTTTGTTTGTTTTCCTGCCAGAGCTTTAACCCCCTCCCCTCAACACACACACACTTCTCGGGCTCTTTAGGAGAAATTGACGGGGAGGAGTCGTGTTTTCATGGAGCGACAACAGCGCCTGCAGGAGAATGCTGCCAAGTGCTGTCAACCTCCTTTCCACTGTAGCGCCCAGCACACGCTGCGGAGCTCGACCCTGAAAATACTTTTTGGCTGTAACACAACAACAGCCCATGACTGACGAGTGATGGACTTACAACATTGGTCAGTGGGAGTTTTCGCTTTGTTCAGAATGATTCAAGCCAAAGTATCACGGACACGTGCAGGTGCCGCCATCTTGCACTGGTGACGTCATCTGGAGCCAGAGTCTGCAGGAGTTATTTCAACTGCTTTCTTAATTCTGCACTTTGCACATTTCTACATGACCCATTCCTACTTTAAAACAGGCCTCAGTATTTAAATTTTTTAGTTTTTAAGTACTCCAACCTACTCAAAACGCAAGTTTGTCATCGGCCTCCAAGCCGATTTTTATCTGAAGAAGTAACTGCAGTATTCTTTTTATGTTTTTCATCAAACCACATGCAATCTGCTCCTCGTGTGCACGTATGACTAACTTATCAATCCGAGAACCTGCCTCTTCCTCTGCACCTCCTGCAGGTCACACTTTTATCAGATCAGATTTCCATCTTCACCTTTGATATGGAGCCTTCACAAAGCGAGAGGCAACACCTCATTCTGCGCTATTGTGAAACGACACGCTTAGCCTCACACCTCCTTATCTCACAGCACCCACTCCTCATGTTATACAGCTTTGTTCAACTGCGTCGAAGCAGCAGATTTACAGGATCGTCGCATATTCTACAGCTTAAACCCAAAACATCCCATAAACCTTTTTCTCATAGACTCTGTTTATCCGTGTGTGTGTGTGTGTGTGTGTTCTTAATCACATATTTTTCAGCTGTATATGTGGGACACGTTGCACTCTGACATTCCCCTGCCACTAAAAAGGGGGTCACCTACTCTCGGCGGCTGAATGTGACCTTTGTTAGAGGAATTATGGGACATTTTTAATAGTGCCGATGATGAGCAGAAACAAAAGTCTGGGATTAAGCGGGAAAGAGAGCAACAAACACGTTAAAATGACAATAGACCCCTCTTTGTGTGAGTGTGTGAGTGCATGCATGTGTGTGTCTGACGATGCAGGAAGTTATAAAGGTGTTGTTTGTGTAATTGTTGTTTTAATTAAGTAAAGACCCCAAACTCATAAACTGGGCTCAATGTGAAATTGTCAGTATAAAAATTTGCTGATTTTTTTATTAGATAACAAAACAGTTGCTGTTTCATCATAGAAATAAACTTTTGTGTTTAACTTTTCAAATGTGAAATGTTACTTAAGAACGTCCCCTCAGTGAAATACAGTCTAAATCTGAATTTAAGGTTAGTGGTTTGATTCCCTGGCTCCTCCCCTGACAAGCCACAGTGTATGAATGATAGAAAAGCACTGTTTGTAGAAGCTTTGTACAAATGTGATTCTAAAATCAACCAAGTTATGTTTTGATTATCTCAAAGATTAAATGCAGCTGAGGTTTTTGACGTTATAGCAAAAAGCGCTGAGGTCTGAGCCGCTGCAGAGGGAAATCAATCATACACAGATGAGTACCAATAGTTGTCAGACGAGCAGTCAGCAGTGTTTTTCATCTGTCAGCTGCAGACATGGAGATTGACGTCCAAGTGTGTGTTAAATGAGTTGTGACCCGCGGCTGTTTGCAGCCTGCAGACCGGTGCACGGGCAGTGACTCCGAGAGAGAAAAGGAACAAAACAGAAAAACAAACCCGGTGAAAGAGTGAACCTCCCTGCTCATCATCATCATCATGGCCCCATTCTTCCTCTCTCAATTGCAACTGAATCGCCTCGGTCTCATTACAGATTATGGCCTGAACAGAGTGACTCTCCCCTTTCTCTCGCCTTTCTCCACACAGTCCCTCTGTTGATTAACATTTTCTGCTAGGCTTCACACCAAAAGCACAACCTGTGCGCTTTAAAGGCAGGCTGGAAAAAAAAGCCATCAAGCGCTGGAGTGGAATCAGATAAGGCTATCAGGCAGGAGGCTTTACTGCCTCGGCTTTGTCCCGCTCCTCCACCCGCCCCTGCTTCCTCCCTCAATCTCTCACTCCACTGCACCTTTTGTCCGTCTGATTCCCTGACGGAGCTCCCCTCAGCCAGGGACCCCCTGACCCCCCAGCACCACTGCACCGTGTGCGTGTGTGTTGCACTCTGCAGCAGAGGATAAGAAGAAATAAGCCGATGGTCCGGGCTGATGTTGAGGTTGAACCCACCTCTGATTCACTGAGCTGCATTTTCTCAGCACAGTTCATCCCAATGACTTAACCTCACTATGTTTCCCATATATGGTACATTATAAAATATATTTTTTTAATGATTTGAAATCCTCAAACTAATAATTTCCCCTAACTAATCACTGGATGGTTTTAAAACGTCCCCACGGATTCACCTGTGTGGTTGTTATCAGTGAATCCACCGTGAGACATTTAAAAATAGTTGCATCAGTGTTTCTGGCTGAAGTCACCACAGGTCAAACTGCTAATTCTCCTCCAGATGGTCTCTGAACCTCGGCCTCGGCCGGTGTTGACGTACAAGCTGCCATTTCACTTTAACAGATTGACCAGTGCACTGATCCAGCCACTGTGTGAACGTGTGTTTTGAAGAGCGAGAACTTTAAATCCCTGTCCGCTCTCATGGCGGCCGAGCGGCGGCTGCGTGTGTGACTCCAGATCCTCGTCCTGCGGCTTCTCCTCGTCGCAGATATTTGCAAACAGATGCGCGAACCCGGGTTTTCTTTTTTGATCAATCAAGCTTTAACAAGTCAAGTTGACTAGATACGAATGTCGCGTTTTGCATGTGAAAGGCCGAGGCTGCGGAAGGCCTGGTTTTGATTAGGCCTAAGCTGATAAATGGCAGATTCAAACAGCCCCCCTGCTACTGCAGAGAAACCCCAGAGGTCCAGGGGTTTAAATCCAGACCGATATCAACTCTGTTGCTCCTCTTTCTTCTCCACACCAATGAATAGATCCATTATTCCGTAGACTCATTCTCATCTCCTAAATTGAAGTGGCAGCAGCTTAAAAGCCCTCGTTTTCTAACCCCCCTTTCTTCTTAGACTCTCTGCCTCCCAAATTTGCTTACTGAAATATTCATGGGTGTGTTTCACCTCAGTTTGTGCCTCTCATGTGATCGTCAGATTTATATCTTGAGACTTTTCCTGTTATAACTGTAAAATCATGGATATGATCATCTATTTCTTATTGTGAGCATCAAGTTTTTTTTAAAGTCGTCTTTGAGCAATAACGAACATCTTTACTGTCTGTGGCTTTTACTTTTTAATAATTATTTGGGATATTTAAAAATCAATGGAACTGCAAGGAGGCATCTTAAGATGTATTTTTCTGTCTGAATAACTTTCAGTTTTTCAACATATAAATCAGTAAATCCTGTGATTTCATTTAATAATCTTTGGTGTTTTTGCCGCAAAAAAATTATTATTGTTGATTATTTTTTGTTGATCGACGTATTGATTCTTTTTTTCAGCTCTAAATAGATTAAACAGATTCAGTGCTTGTCCAGTTTCTTTCCTCATCACCATTAGATTCATTCAAGTTTCACAAGACGTTCACTCACAGTAAAATACAGCGGCCAAGTGTCACTGTTGCACCTTGTGGATGCTTTGTAAACCACTTGCCCTGCTCCGTCCCCCCCCCCCGCTCTCAACCTAAAGGTGAAATATTGCTCTAGTCCGCACACACAGAGCGGCTGAATGTTAAAGAAATCACTGTCTGACATGATATGACGTGAATTCGGGTTCTCTTCTCTTCTCTTCTCTTCTCTCTCCAGTCGACTTTTTGGCAAAATACTGTATCTTCAGTCAGGAGAAACTGGAAGACTACAGGAGAGCTTTTGATGAAGTAAGTGAAAGTGGATTTAAAAGCTCTATGTTTGAACATTCTCTTTCTCTGTCGGTGGTAATGATTGGACTGCAACTAGTGATTATTTTCATTGATTCAGGCATCAGGCATTTGATTGCTTTATTTCTGAGAAACTGAGTTGTTCCAAGTGACTTCATGGGTTGACCAGACTTTCTTTGTCTGCTGAGGGTTGCGTACTTGTTCCACGATTCCGTTCCAGGGTCCGTGTCGGTATGCGTGGTCTGATGTGGCTCTCCATTCCAGGAGGTGGATGGATCTTACCTGAAGCTTGAGTAGTCAACATGTACAGGTCAATCATTTTGGACTAAACACCAATGTCCACATCGTCGGACACTACGGGTGGATGAGGAAGGCAGAAATAGAAACTATGAATTTGCCTTCAGGGCCTTAAGCCAAAAAGTTGGGGTTCCAGTAATCAACATGATGACGATGATGATGACGATGATGATGACGATGATGATGGTGATGATGGTGATGATGATGGCAGTGTTGTTTCTTTGCAGGAGGACAGTGATGGTGACGGCTACATCTCCTGCCTTCAGGCTCTGCTTGCTCTTAAAAACATCATCCCTCCAGAGTTGCTGTCTGACGAAGAAGAGATCTACATCTGCAGGGTCAGCACACACACGTACAAATACACACACACACGTACAAATACACACACACACGTACACACACATGTTCACACGTACGCCACAGTCACAGTGTCGATTGTCAAACCTCTTCAGATCCTGGAGATGGTGGACTTCAGAGTGACAGATGGGCTCGTGGACCTGAGGCTCTTTTCCGTCATTGCGAGCCTGGCACAGAAAATAGCCACCATGGAGTAAGTGGCCATCAGCAGACACGCTCCTCACTCCTCAACGACGCTGGGAGAGGAGTCACTGACCTCCCATAAATAAGAATAAGAGAGTGTGTACGCAAGTTGGTTCCAGCGATTTGTCGTCGTGTGTGGGGCGCTGTTTGATCCTCTGCTCCTCGTGTCTTCAAAGATTTAATGTGACGTCAGAGGTCAAAGTTAGGAGCTGAGACGTGATGATGGCATAAGCACAGAATAAAATAATCGACATGTTGGAAATTTAAATGACAATGTCAGCAATGAATCATCATTTAAAAGACCCTGTTAAAAGATTTGAAACAATACTTCTTTTAAACACAGTTTGTGAGGCCCAGAGCTGCAATTACAGTCGATTCATTGATTCTCCGATGTGACTGTTTGATGTTTTTCATGGTTGTAAACTGATTTCTGAGAATTTTCTTGTATTTTATGGAGAAAAAGTTTAGACCATAATGAAAATTATTCCGCCGCAGCCCTTGATTGAACCCTGTGCCGAAAGCCATCACTCCGACTTGAACTCGGCCTCAGCGTTCTTGTGTCTCTACATTATTAAACCCCATATGCTTCAGATTCCCACACACAGCGCTTTTTTTCTGCCCTGGGGTTTATAGCTTCCTGCAGGCAGGAGTGTGTGGAGCCAAGCCTACTCCGGAGGTCCCAGAGGGTCAAGGCCTGCTCCCGAAGCCCTCGCCCTGCAGTGAGAGCTCCCTCTCAGCGAGGACAGGGCCAGGGTCACGGGTCCTCTGATTTACGGCCAGCCCTTTGTGCCGTGTGTTAGAGGAGGCCTGTGGACCGGCGGCCTCGCTGGCACAGAACGACCAGGGTGTCTGCTCTGTATAGAGGCAATTATAGTAATGATAATGAATGTCCATATTAAACCTCTTTTCACAGAACCCCTTTTTTCAATTTAAATAATAAGGAGAGAGGAGATCAGCGTTCATAAAGCTGCCTCCTAAACAAGGAGAAAACAAAAGCATCCTTCTGTCATCTCATCCCAACTGAACTAAACTGATCCTCTTACCTGTTTCAGTTAATCCTGTTGTCTCTAATCCCAGATTAAAAACGAGCTGCAACAGTAGTTACACAATCAACCAATCTGATCACTGAAGGCTTTGAAATCTGAGAAGGTGTAGCCCACATTATATATATATATATAAATATTAATATATATATATGTATGTCTTACAGGGTACTGCACCCTTCCCCCCTCTCACTTTTCTTTTCCACTTCCCCTGTGCGTCCCTCTCATCTCTCTCCCTCTCAGCCTCTGTGCTGTTTTGGCCCATGACTCAGCCCATCTGTCCCCGCAGCATTGTGCTCCCCGACAAGTCCACCTCACACAGAGCCACATTCCCTCAGGGCCAGTCACATGACCTGCCAAGAAGTGCATCGCCATGCAGGATTCCCAGACGGCATCAGTAGAGCCGTCGCATTCATTGTTACTGTCACTCTCGCCTTGACTGTTGTTGGATTTGTGAGCATGCATGTGTCCGTGAGGGTTACCGCAAGTGTCGCACCGAGTCGGCGTGCAAAGGGAACATGAGACGGCACAACCTGGACTCGCCACCCGCCGCGTAAACTGTCAGACAACGCCCATCCCTCCTCCACGGTTTCCTTCTACCCGCTCAAAATTATCCACAAAACAACTCTTAATTCCATCAAATCAAACTAGGTCAGAGTATGTTTGCACCCCCTGCCTCACTGTATACCAGCTCCCCGCTGAGCAGACCGCCAAAGTTTTTGGCATTACGTAAGTGAGAAGTCTGCTGTGTTGGTCGCAGCGGGGTGCCAGTGGAGGGCCGACAAAAGAAAATGGGTTATGCTGCTATTATCCTCCCTGCAGTCCATCACTGGTCCCCGAGCCCCTCGTTTACGCTAGCCATTATCACGCCAGTGTCCTCAGCGCGACAGCATTTGGACTCTTTTACTGCAAACCAAGTGCAATTAATGATCATTAGCTGCCCTGTCTCGCTTCATCCCCATCAAGCCACGGCCTGCACGGTGGTTGGCAGACGAGGGCCAATCACAGCGCTGCGGGCACTCAAGCATGCACTGCACTCGATGGCCTAGCGCTTGGCCATTCTTCGCTCTAACAGGCCATTGAGCGCTCGGCGAGGAGGGGCTCATTAACACCGGGCGCTCGTTAGAGAAGGGACGACTGTCGCTGTGCCACACGCTGGACAGGAGAGGTCTGTCCCAACACAATTGGTCGACTCTCCCTCTAATTATCTGAGTGGACCTAGATTTTGTTGGTCTGCAAGTGGTCACATTGCAGCAGAGTGTGCTCCGGTTGCTTATTGCCTAAACCTCCGTACGAAACCCCTCTCACCCTGCTCTCCCCCGCCAACACACCCCCCCCCACCCAGCCCCACACCCACTGTCCCAAAACCAGAGCAGTTTTATCCGTTACAATGGCGGGATGTCCCCGTGTACCCATGCATTGTTTGGCAGCCAGGCCACGTTGAGCAACCACAATGGGCTCAGAACACTTTACCATCACATCGCCGCAAACACACAACATCTCACGGAACAGACCCGCCAAAAATCACCCGCCACGACCACCAGATTGTTCCAACGCCGCCAACAACTGCAGCCAAAGTTCACGCCAACCCTCCTGTCTTTGGACAAAGTCTAGACTGATGAATGAAACTGATGGTTGATTACTTTTGATTTTCGTTTGCAACAACCCCGATGGACAAAGAGCATTGTTAAGGGTTCACTCTGCTGACTTGATATTTAAAGGTCATTTCATTTTTCTTAGTTCCACCAAAAGTCGTATAACTTCATCTGGTTTCAAACTGAAAGTTGAGAGCGAGGAGTTTGAAAGAGAAGAGAACCCGACAGCTCTGGTTCCGGATGTTAGATTCTCATTCATGACGAGATGAATCGTGACCATAAAACTTTTGATTTAGAGAAAAAAATATTGTAAAACAGAAAATAAGGCAAACATGCAAGGCTGTGAACATAGTTATATTAAGAGTGAAGGAACTACATATCCCATAAACCATTGCAAAGCTGCATAATGGGAATTGTAGGATCCAGGTTTTGACAGAATTGAACTATTGTGGCTTTATCTCTATGAAAACACAAAACTAAATCAGTGGATTACGTCTTTTACAACTCATGTTCTGTCTTCACAGAAACTGACGGTGTGATTTTCCTGTTTTCTCACAGTGAGTTTATGCGATCGCTCATCGGCAGCATGGACTTTCACTCTCTTGAAGTGAGGCTCTTCAAAGCAAAGGTAACGTCGAGTCATGTTTCTGAAATTCCTCTAAACGTCCGTCGGCTTCAGCTGCATTTGCAAAGAAATCCTCCACACGTCTGTACTGAAGTCGTGATCACATGGTGCATTTGATTACTTCCATGCAACGTCATGCCACTAACACCACCTCTGCCTCTCTTTCATGGCTCTGTGGGTATAATTACAATGAAATAAATACTGGTAAACACTTTGAAGAGCAATTCCAAAGCATGCTTTGTAAAGCTAGCTTTTTTTTCGGGAAGGCACTCGGCCCTCATGCATAGAAATGAGGAAAGCAAGCCAGAGAGAAGAAGAGAGGGGTGCTTTTCCCTTTTCATAGATTAGCACGGCCCTAATCTCATTAAAGTGCCCAGCAGTGAACATGCCGTCCACTCCGCCCAGCCCTGTAATCAGCCCGAGACACACGGCTCATCTGAGCTGGACCGGGACTGGCCGGCCAGCTGGTCGCTCACAAGCAGGCCCGGCCCTCATTCATACAAGGAAGTAGTGAGCCTCTGAAAGGCAGAGGAACATGAAAGCCTGTAGCCATGGGTGTGGAAACTGAGCCGCTGGCCAGGTAGAGGAGGCTGTGTAATTATAGAGCTGTTAGGGATAGGGTTGTTAACTGGAGAGGCTGGCTGGGGGAATGGGCTAATTGCCAGAGGGATTATTTCCACCGCCGCTGCCGCCGCCCTCCTCCCCCAACAATTATTACCTTGACTGCATTAACGGTGCAAACAGGTGCACTCAAACAAGACTAGAAACAGGCCGTGGTAATCTGAGGCTACCCTGAAGAGCAAACACACAAAACCAGAGCCATACTCACACATGAACGCACACCCACACAACTCTCAACTCAAGTCCAGAGCCAGTTTTCCTTATTTTCTAATCTATATCTTCTCTATTATGATCACGGCTGGAGCAGCGGCTGTTCCTGTTCCTCCTGGAGGAGCAGCGAGGAGACGCCGGAGCTCAGCAGGGATTCATCAGTGCAGAGCAGCTGCTTCTGGAGCTGAAGGCCGGCGGGATCCATCTCGAGCAGGAGCCGGCCATCACGCTGCAGCTGCAACACTTTGCCCCTCTGGACCTGCTGGACTTTCTGGCCTACCTGCCCCTCTTCATGCTCATTCACAAGTCGGTCATCTCCAACCCCCTGGACGACTCCAGCAACCTCTGACCCCAGTCACGGCTCGGTCTGCCCTGCGAGGCTCAGGTATCAGCACCACCACCATCACACACACACACACTGCTGAGGGCTTGAATAAAAAAGATGCACAGGAAACAGAGGAGCTTCGATTCCGAGTCACACCAGCATTTGCAGTTTGTTCACAGCAACGGAAACACTGCTCATTCACTTTGAGTATCGAGCCATATTGTGGTTGTGGTTCAATCCAATCTTGTTTTCCCTTCCATCAAACATTCCTGACAGGGAAATGTACGTAAACAGCCTCTCCACTATCACTAGTTCTGTGAGGACGGATCATATGACATGGAGCTCAGCTGAACCTCCTGGACTTGTAAAGTGCTGTCTATGGTCCTGAAATGTTCTGCAGCTGTGGATGTTCTTCCACGAGAGTTCACTGTGCAGAGACTGAAGATCCATTATTCTGGCTGAATGAGCCAAAGACAAACTCTCAAACATCTTTAGAAAACTGCTGCTGCTCAACATCATCATGTGAATATGCTGCTGCAACCACAGCCCATCGTTCTGGGTTTAATAAACGATTGAGCAGAGACCGTTCTCTCCTCCTCCATCCAGTCCTATCACGGCTCATGATTGATGTTCAATCAGATATTCCACTAATATAGTTTTAGCCATTGTTTTGCCCCAGCTTTTCTAATTAGACATGGCCACGCCCTCCTGTGGTTCATACACACTGGACAGAACGCCACACAGGGAAACATAATGGACTCTGACAGGCAGCGAAGCAGGACTGTGAGATCAGGGACGTCCCAACGACATCAAAATATTTTTTAGACCTGCGGTGTTCATCTTCCTAGTTTGAGTTTTTTTTCCTCTCAGCTGTCACGTCATCGTTATCTTACGTTGACCTTTACAAATTCAGTGATTGAAACAGAACCCAGACGAGAACCTGACGAGGTTGTTTATGTGTAGAAAGGTTGCTCCTCTAATTCCTTTTTTTAATTCAACTCCATCTCAGTTCTGTTGACGTTGATGCATCTGCAGTGTTGTGAGACATTTTGGTCGTGACGTCTGCAAAAGGTAGAAATATCAAATATCATATCTGTGTTGGGAACATGGACATACTGTAGTTTGTGTTGTATAATGTGAGACACGTTTGTGTATTTATACATTTCCTCTCTATTGTTGACTTTTACGTGAAACCATCTGTTAACTTTGGAACCTCAAATTACTCAGATTATTGTTCGACACTGCTGACACGTGATGTTCTGGTGGGAATTGACCGGATAAATAAAATATGCTGAAGTGAATCTCAGATTTGCAGAGTTTCAGTTTTTTGTGTGTTTGTTTATTCAGTTTATCATGAATGAAAATTTACTTCCGGGCCCAGTTAAACGAGACATGGTGACAGTTTTGTTTTACAAGCTTTTTGATTTACTTTACTAGAACCTGCTTTTGTCCTCTTGTCTTCTTTGTCTCTGCCAGTTTTAGTTTGTGTATGAAAAGGTCTGTCAGTCAAACTGGGAGACGCAGCAGCTTTTAATTATGTAGGTTGGACAATTCAACTTTTTGTTTGTGTTTATATTTGAATACATTGAGTTGCATTTTTATTCTCGCACAATTATAATAATGACTTTTAATTTTAACTTTTAACCTTTGATCAACAAGTTCATTTATTAAAATCCAACAAAACATTTTGACCAACACTTTTTTGCAGCAAACAATAATTATAAATCTATTAAAGAATGAGAATTTAAAATGTGCAGTAGGTTTCCTCCTGTTACTTGATTTTACTACCTTCCTGTAACTCACCCAGTGGAGCCGCAGAGCTGTCAGACCGTGCTCCCCCCTCTCGCACAATGAATCCCTCAACGCAACAAGAGGTTTTTTGCAGACTGTTTCTCTCCGCGGATCAAATATTTTTTATTTGTCAGAATCACAGTTTGCGGTAAAAGGGAAGAAACAAGAGCAGCCGCAGAATCTAAACTGCAGCCACACAGCGAGTTTTCTCTCCCAGGTGGTGATTGTTGTGTGATCGGCGGCATGCTGCTGTCAGGAGGCACACGCCATCAGCCAGTTCAGCTCCGTGTCTCCACTCGACCACCACACAAAACCCATTCACTCATTTAACCAGACACGCGTCCGGTCGCAGCCTCCGCCGTATACCTGTCAAACTCACTTTTTCACCAACAAAAGAACCAGCTCCGAAATGTACAGCTGATAACTTCAGTGTAATCACGCCACTGACATTCCCTCCAGCTAATTTAAAGCTCAGCCATGGTTTATACATATTGGCGGTATTTTTTTTTATTATTATGTGACCAAGAAAAAAGATCATTGAGGTGCGTTCTCCAACTTTCAGACAGTTTGTGCGCATTCACATTTAAAGTATAATTTCGCCAGATGTTTTATAAACTACAATGACGAGACATTTAAAAGTTCCATGAAAAACAAACAGCACTTAATCAGAAGTTACAGCTGTTTGTTTGACTGAGGATGACATTTCTCTTAAGTTCCAAAGAGCACTCGTTCTACCAGATGTACTTTTTGCGCCTGCACGACTTTTTGTTTCTTTTGTATTGTTCATATGGAAAAGGACTGGGGACATTTTAACAGAGTTTAGTTCGGAGTTGGCTCAAAGCTTTAAGAAAGAACTGGGTGTGGAATTTCGAGAAAGGAGAAAGAAATATTCGTGCGTAAAATGTGCGTAATTGTGCGTAAAAGTTGGGCTTCTTCTTCTGCTTTGTCCCTACATCGCCACACACGTCTTATATTCTTGCTCCATCATCCCCTCTCACCTCCCCCCTCATTTACCTGCCCACCAAAGACACAGAAAGCTGTAAAATAAGTGTCCACTTTCAATTCACCCAAAATCAAGACATGGAAAGTGATTCAGTAGCAAATCATTTTTATTCTTGGACTAGAGTGTAGAAAATATGGTTATAAGACTTTTTTTTCCCACCATCTGTTTATGTGAAGACAGTATAGAGCTGGCAGTATAGAGACACAATGTGTGGACACTGCGCTCTGTTTGGACAATAGCTGCATAAGTTTTGATCACTGTGAAGTTCATGACATAATGCAATAACATGGTTTCTCTATTAAATAAGACACATTGGTGCTAAACGTCAGAGTATCAAACTCCTTCTGGAAACCTCATGAACAGAAGAGCCAGAGAATAATAGACTACACGTCTACATAGGCAGGAGGTATTAGAAGCAACTTCGCAATATATAGAGAAAAATATATACAAAAGGATGTGTACAAAACATCTATAAATCTCTTACATACAAAAATATCTTAATATATTTCAAAAAAGCGTTTCACATAGAATTTTATAGAATAAATCCGCGACTTGGAAGCATTTTCAGAATTGAACGGCTAAGGTTTGCCAAGGGTTGGTGTTCTGTGATTGGATTTAGCATAGTTGATGAGCGACGTATTAAATAAAGTTTTTAATGTGCTGCTGAAGAGCATGGATTCACTTTAGTGTTTTTATCGAGGGCAAATGCACAGAAGCTTGGTTTCCCACGCTGTCAGGAGACCCGTCTTCTTTTAATCCTTTGGCGCTGATCTCTGGTCTGATTTCCCCCAAGTTTTCAGGACGTTCAGGCCTCGTCCGTCCGTCTGTCTGTCAGTCAGTCAGGGGGACACGAGGACAGGGCGTTAAGGACGCAGGGACCGAAACGCGTGTACAGTGCATCTTGTTCTTGAGGACACCCAGTCTCCTCCGGGACCATCCCAAGCGCACAACAGTAAATTGAGTTGATCCATATTTCTGTGGAGAGAATGAGATAATGTTAAGCGACTGTTCAGATTATATATCGTGATATCTTTATTTATAACAGTGTCTTGATTCACTCTTGGACATCATCACATCTATGCTTACCTCATACAGATGCTCAGAACCAGTTGGCGAAGTCCAGCAGCTCCTGCTCCTCTGGACTCAGGGGGTCGTATGAGCCCTCGTCAGATGAGTAGGAGGACACCGGGGAACCTGCCATGGAGTTCATGTCGGTGGAGTATCCCTGCGACATGGTGGGCGACAGGACGCCGGACTGGAACGCGGCGCTCACCGCGTCGTGTTCGTCTAGCAGCTGCTGCAGGGCGCGGATGTACTCCACCGCGGAGCGCAGCGTCTCCACTTTGCTCATCTTCTTGTTGGCGGCGCCGTTGGGGACGTGCTCCCTCAGGGTGGCGAAGCCGTTGTTCACCAGCTTCACCCGGTTCCGCTCCCTCTCGTTCCTCCGCGCCACCGCGTGCGGCTGCTGCTGCGGGAGCGTGTAGCCGAAACCCGCGAAGTTCAGTCTCCGCTTGCAGCGCAGCAGCTCCGGGGAGGAGGAGCGCTGCCTCTTCGGCTGCTTGGACCCCGACTTCCCGCTGCTCTGGCTGCTGCCGCACGGGCTCAGCTGGATGCTCTGCGCCGCCGCGGTGGAGAAGAAGCAAGCCGGCGGCATGAGCTGCTGCTGGGTGATGTTAATTTCCATCTTCGCCGTGAAGTCCATTCCCAGAATTAAAAAAACACACAAACTTAGAAAGAAATCACCAAGTCTCGAGGCGGTGCGTCCCGCTCGTGCCGTTCACGTGTTGCTTGACGCGCACTTGTTTCAGTGGGGCAGTGCGCTGGGCTGCTGCCTCGCGCGCTCCTCAAAGCTGCACTGAGTCCTCGAGGAGAGACGCCACTGCTTTTCAATGCGTCTGGATGAGGGATGGCCACGCCCTCCGGTCGCGTGGATCCACCTTGGGCTCCTGCGCCGGTGCCGGTGCGTTACGCGCGCCGGACGCGTGCCACTTGAAGCACTAAACAAACAGTCAGAGTGAGTTTGTTTTCTATCTGTCACGAGTGTCAGTCGGTGCAGCACAACACAGAGACAGTTCAGGACGTGATGTGCACACCAGCGCCAGGGAAGGTTTTCTTCCAAACCAGAATCAATGTGGCTTTATTTTCTTATTTCTAATGCGTGTTCAACGCTTTAATTTGCTCCTTTTCTCTGATAGTTTCATTATTTTTATGGAGCAAATGTGAACAAAATGCTTTTGTGGGTTTATCCCGGAATCTTCCAGCAAATAAATCAAAACTTTAAAGCAAATCTATCGAGCTTGTTTATGCTGTCCTGAAAATCTCCAGATAAGATGAGTATATGAGACTTCCCCTCCACACACGACACGTATCTGTCATCTGTGATGGAAACTGCTCGTTTCAACAAGTCAAAACAGCGTCCGCATGATTTGAACTTTCCGTTTGAGTCAGTTAATTAAAAGAAACACTTTCTAGAATTGTGTTTCGAGGAATAAGTGGAGATTCCTGTTGATAAACATCAAGTTTTCTCGTAAAAAGATTTGTTAAAAATGAAAAAATCTGTATAAAAAAAAGCTGATAGTTCAAGATAAGAAATAAAAACTCTTTCTTTTTTTTTTTCCAGCTGTGGACTGAGCATCCACATGTGCAGCTTCTGGAGTTCAGTCTGAGATCTCTGCAGAGTTTCACTGGGGACGTTACAGACGCGTCTCATTTGAGCCGCTATTGTGCATCAGAGGCCGGATTTTCCACTTTGATTAGAGCAGATCATCAGCCTGGCACAGGCGGAACGAAGGGGCGCAAATCTGCGGAGGGGCCCGAAGAAGCTGTTTGGAGTTTGTCTTTGTTTAAGATTGGATACACTCGATGTGGTTACAGTGGAGAGGACGCGCCGTGTTCTGTTGATTATTGTCGCTCTGAAAAGTGGAGAATAATAAAACACGTCTTTGAGCGCGGAACAAAACCAGGAGCAAACTGTAATACCCTCTCTTTTCCGTGCGTGCATCCGTGCGTGTGCGAGTGTGTGTGTGTGTGAGTCTGTGCGCGTGATAGGCTGCGTGAAAAGTGTGCGCAGTAACACACGGAGTAAGAAAAAAAAGATACTCTGATTGTTTTCAGCTTTTACGCGTGGAGTTCTCTCTCTCTCTGTGTGTGCGCGCGTGTGTGTACCATTTATTTGTGTGGGCGCGCGTGTACAATAAAACGCGCACGGAGATGAGACATCAGCAGACAAAGATAAAACAGATCTGTACTGTTTTTATGCTTGTGCGCAAGTTTACAGTTTTTGCGCACGAAGTTATTCTCTCGACCGTGTTTGTGTGTCCCCGTGCGTGTGGGTGTGTGTTAGTGTGTTAGTGTGTTAGTGTGTTAGTGTGCATGTGCGGTGGGGTGCGCGTAGGCTCTCCTCAATAACACAGTGGGTGTTAAGTGGGAAGAGAAGATTTTTCGTTTCTCAGTTTTGTGCACATTTTTGCACGAAGTTCTCCTCTGCGTGTGTGTGTGTGTGCGTGTGCGTGTGCGTGTGTGTCGTTCTGTGCGTGTGTTCAATTAAACAGAGATGAAAACATATTGAACACATCAGGACCGTTTTCTGTTTTTATAAGTTTGTGCCTAAGTTTTCAGTGTTGCCTGTCTTAGTGTCCCATCGTGTGGGTGTGCAGTTTGTGCGGTTGTGTACGTGTGTGCAAATAACCCCCTTCTCTGGTGTGCATGCGTTTGTGCACGAGCTTCCAGAAGAGGATAATAAATTGTGCAATTTTTTTGGCTTTCAGAATCAGGTTTGCAGCCCCCCCCCCCCTCCACCACCACCACCACCACCACACCAATACTTTCTTTTCTTTCCCTCCCCCCTCTTATACCCCCCCTCACCACCACCACCCCTCTTCTTTGGCCCAACAAGAGAGTTTAGAAAAGAAGCGTGGGTTCTATTCAGCCTCCCCCTCCACCTCTTCCCCATCGCCAGGCTTTCTGAAACCTATCCATGCCCTGTCAGTGCGCTTCCAGAGTCCAATTAGCGCTTTGTGAGGACTCTCTCTCTCTCTCCCTCTCTCTCTCTCCCTCCCTCTCTCTCTCTCTCTCTCTCCCTCTCTCTCTCTCTCTCCCTCTCTCTCTCTCTCTCTCTCCCCCTCTCTCTCTCTCTCCCTCTCTGTGTGCAGGTCTTCCACACGCAGGCTGCTGGGGTCTGGGAGGGCGCTCACTTTACTCGAGGGGCTTTCCAGTCATCGCTGAGTGTAATAATTAATATGACATCTGGGCGCCCCAGTTCCAATTTAACCACTTTCTGTGTTTTCTCTTTTTCCCTCCACGCAGTGAGTTTTCTCTCTCTGTAGCAGATAATAGAGCAAAAAAACCCATAAGCAGCCACTGATAGTCTGTGTGTGGGGTGTGAGGGATTATCTTTCCATTTGTATGTCATTAAAAACAGTTTCTTCTCACAGTCATAAGTTCAGCAGGTGCAGCATGTTTGAAGTCTCATATATTCATCCAGACTTTTTCTTTCAGCTGCACAAAAAGATAAAACATGATAATTTGATGCAGGACTTGTTGAACTTGTTGTAGAGAGTTACACAGAGAACTTAAAGACAGATATGGCACATACCCATGCAGACTCTGTTAGGTTTTGACATATTGAAAATGATTTATCATATTGGAAACCAGACAATTAAATACAAGATGAAAAGACAAAATAAGTAAATTATATAATTACATCACACACACAGTTACAATGACTTCAAGGCCTTTTTAAAATACAGGTTTCTGTGATGGACTCCTGCCTCTGAGATCTTTGTGTAAACACCCCCCCTTCATGTGCTGGGTGCTCTCATGAGAAGGCGTGAGAGAGCAGCGCCCTCCAGAGGACAATGCAGGGGGCCACACACAGCATCCAGTGCTGTGGAAAGTTTCAGGCACTCTCATCCATCATCACCAGCTGAGTCAAATCTCAACATCAAGGAGTATGAAGGAGGACAAGGAGAGCTGCAGGAAGTTTATTGATAAATACAATTATTCTTGACACGTTTTCATTTTGCTTTTTTTAACGTGTTACTGTTCTTTCCTATTGTGACATTCAACGAGTGATGAATAGAAAAGCCTTTACTGTCACGAAGAATTGAGGTACTCCTGAAAAATAGTGGAAATCTATTTAAAAACACAAAAAAAAAGGTCTAAAGTTTGACGAAAAACACAAACCAATGGTTCATGTGCAACATATTCACTGTACATAGTGTCCTTGTGTTTACACTATATCT